CGATTGTTTTGCGAAATTAAACGAAACGTAGAGTTTGTGAATCTTGCCAGAAACGTCAGCGTGTTGCAAAAAAAAATTCTAGTCTAAAAAATGTCTCCCTTTTATGAGAAGATCGGATATAATTGGAGTAATGTTAGTTATTAACATGCTAAAATCATTTGTTAAAAACAAATCTGTTGACCATTATTTGCTGCTAGCCAGAAATATCAACAACGTTTTGTTTTGTTTTAGAAAACTACTTTCATAGTCGAAACTAGTAAATGCATTTTATTCAGTAATTGATGTAATGTAATGTAATGTTTATTCGTGAGGATAAGCTTACCATGAGAGAAATGAGGTCGACTGGTTTTGGAAAACTGTGGAAAATAACTGATAATAATGGAAGAACACTCCTGGCATTGGATGGAATATAGTTTCTCATATCGTATAAATTTCCTTTTGTAATTTTAAACTCTTGTATGGGTGCCATTCATATTTAGCTTTTTCAGACCTTAAATGTCAATTACCCCCCACCACAACATATACATGAAAAAAACTATTAAAAACATGACTATCTGTTAGCCTTACTATCTACAAATATACACGTTAATAATTTACAATCTGCGAATAACGGATGTAATGCACCCACTCTTTCTTTTTTTACACAATTTTTTTTGAGGTAGGCTTCACCCTGTACAAGGCCAGGAGACCACTCGAGGTTACGTTATGGGGCAGTTTATGCGAATAGAAAGAGAAGATTACGGTTAACTATAGACTTGAACAGGTTAAGATTATAGTGATCGGGGAAACATCCTCTTCGAAGTTCGTTCAAATGTAAAAGAATGAATAGTAAGATTTCAGCGTTCAAAACATTCCTTTAAAACAGGGCTCAATACAAAAGTAGAGCCGTAAATATTTATTTATTATGCAGTGTTACATTAGAACATCCATATAGAAAACTATATATCTTGTTTCAACGTTAAAAAAATCTTTGCTAAGATTTCTCGGATGTGCAGTCGACGTAATACACACTGTTTGGTAAATAGAAACAGGGCATCTATTTCAAATACGAAGTATCCACTGTAATAACGTTTGAATACACACACACACACATATATATATATATATATTATATATATACATACATCTCGATGTTATTAATCACTCAGATTCCTTTCTTTCTCCACATGTAAAGTCTTTTATACCTTTTATGGGAGACTTTCCAATGACGGAAGTGGAAGGTATGCTTCAATAACTGCATTTCTGAATAAAATATTTTAGTAGCATCATGATTCCCCATCTGATGAAACGTTAAAAAAGATTTTTTTAACGTTGAAACGGTTTTGTAGTGAGTATGAGCATGTTCTAATGTAACACTGCATATATATATATATATATATATATTCAAAGGTTATTACAGTGGATACTTCATATTTGAAATAGATGCCCTGTTTCTATTTACCAAACTGTGTGTTTTACGTCTACTGGCCTGAACACCCGAGAAATTTTAGTATAGGAAACCTGAGAATCCCTTTGCAGGACAAACCACCATTTAGTTCAGTGTGCTTCACCGTTCGGTCACGAAGAACGTTGATGTAAGCAAGGTTTCCTTTTTAAGGAAAGCAAATCTTCTTCATCTAAGTTATTTTACTATTTTACTTTTGATCCTTGCCGGATAACGATTTTTATCTTTGGTAATATATAAATGAAAAATGGCAGATTAAAAATAAATTCTTTAATTTTTATATATATATATATATATATATATATATATATATATATATATATAGGTAGCAGAGTAATGAGACAAACATTGATCCCAGAAGACTAGTAGGAAGTTATGGAGAGCCATGATCGACTACATCCTGATGGAACACGACACAGACAATACACACACACACACACACACACACACACACATATATATATATATATATATATAGGAGGTGACCGATCATGGCTCTCCATAACTTCCTACTAGTCTTCTGGGATCAATGTTTGTCTTCTTACTGTTACCCATTTCCAATTCTGCTACTCATTTGCACAAATTTATTATGTGGGTTACGCACTATTTATTTTTGCCTCTCTTGCCTTCAATATGTCCTGTGAGTATCAAATTTTCCAAGCCCTCTTTCCTCATTATGCGTCTAAGAAATTTCAACTGTCTTTTTAGGATTCTAATTACAAGTGTCCTTTTTCTTTACATTTTCCTTAGAACCTCATTGCTTATATGCTGCGTCCATGGTATTCTCAGCATCCTTCTGTAGAACCATAAGCTTTTCCTTTTCCATTTTCTTAGAACTGAGCCATCTATTTTATGACAGTTAATAGAGTCAATTGCTTCTTCCGCCGCGAGGAAAGTTGACTCTCTGTGCCGCGCCAGGAAATTTTTCTCCCCTGAATCGATACTTCAAATATACAAATCAACCATTCGCCCTTGCATGGAGTATTGCTGCCATATATGGCCTGGGGCACCTTCTGCTTACCTCGGAGTTCTTGACAAGATCCAGAGACGGATATGTAATATGATTGGCCCTGATCTGGCATCTCGCCTACAGTCACTCTCTCACAGAAGCGCCGTCGCCTCCCTCTGTCTTTTCTACAAATACTTTCATGGTAATTGCTCCGATGAGCTGCTTTCACTGGTTCCCAGACTTCATGAATTCAAGCGCCCTACGAGGCTAGCATCCCGCTCCCACCCTTACACTGTAGAAACTTTTAAATATAGCCGTCTCTTCTATTCCAATAGCTTCATACCTCGCACCTCTCGCCTGTGGAACACCCTTCCCAATTACTGTTTCCCTGAGAGCTATAATCTCCAATTATTCAAATGTAATGTCAATCGACATCTCCAGTTACCTTGATCTACCCACTATCCCGCTCCTCATCTTTTCTTCCATCACTCCTATCTGCTCTCGCTCCAAATCTTCCGCAACCCCCTGCATCCTAGTGGCTTCACGCCTTGCTCGGGGCGTAATGCTTAAAAAAGAAAAAAAGAAAAAAAAAAGCTAGTCCTTTCTTCTTGCTTTCCATTACTGACTTGTCTAAGATTTTTTTCAGTTTCCTTTCTGAGTTTTCCGTCAACATGGTGTTATCCGTGTATCTTATGTTGTTAACTTTCTATCCTCCAATAATAAATCTTAATCGCACTTCTAGTTCTGTTATGATCGTCTCGCTATAAAGGTTACATAAAACCAGTTGAGGAAACGCATCTTTTTTTCTTCTCATTTTCCTATATTCATAGAAATCTTTCTCTTTCTGTATGCAGAAGAAAAATCATTTGCACCATTCGGATTGTTTCGTCCGTTGTCCACGTTCTCCGAGGCCATGCATCCACAGATTGACAGTGATTGATGAATCCCGAGTTGAATAAAATGTAATATTACATATGATTGATTTGAGCCTCGTGATTTCATTATTAATGTACCACGATCATTTTACAACCACATTTATGCTGATTATCCCCACCATACTTTCTGTAGTGCTGCACCCCGTCAATTATTTGTCGGAAAAACGTGTTGTCAGCAATTATCGTGTTTGTATGTGCGCCATCTTTCTTTTTCTAAAGCACTTTTTGATCAACGCAATATTATAATCTATCTCACCTGACTTGCTTGCGTGTGGCATTATTTTGCGCAAGAAATTGATAATTAGAGAGATAGATAGAGAGAGAGAGAGAGAGAGAGAAGTTAAAGATAGAGAAGGGGAAATTTCTCTCGGACTATTCCCATCTTTCTAACAATCCAGTCTCTCATTACTTAAACAGGTTCTAATCATTGCTTGCAATTATTCTTTATGATTCTACTGAACATTTTCAAAGTATCAAGGAGTAACCTGTCAAATGACCGTAAAATTTAGAAGTAACTTGAGACAATTTATGTTAGACTAAGACTCAAGTTCTGAATATTGAATTTGTAAAAAAAAAAAAAAACAAAACAGCATAAGCGATCAAAATAACCGATCGATCGAAGTGTCCACTCAGTTGACAATATTAAAACACATTTACAATAAGAGTCATAAAAAAAAGAAACTGAATCCTTTATTATTAACAGACAGTCAAGTGTTATTTAAAACCGTATCAAAAAGAATTTCAAATGAAACAACTGTCAAGTATTGTTTCAAACCGAATATAAAGCAGTTCATATTAACAGTCAGTCAATCATTTTTTCAAACCGTATAAAAAGCATTACCTAAGAGCAGTCGGCCAAGTATTGTTTTAATTCGAATCAAAAAAACATTCATGTAAACAGACAGTTAAGTAATTTAGAAATGTGCAAAAAAGCAAATATCTTGAACAGACATTATGGCAGCAATAAACAATGAGATACAGCACTTAGGATAATCACTTTTTTTGCAAGATGCATAAATAAAGATGCATTAATGATGCACTTACTAAACTAGCTACTGCAAGACAAGGTTGGTAACTCTGTGGAAGGTGTCAGGCGCTTATGGTTACAGCCTAGATGCATTCATTTAGGTACTGTTTTTCTCTTGAAAATACACACAGTATGAGCAAAAGATTCATTTTTATTGTAATTTGTCTTTTATTAGATGTATATAGAAGCCACTAGTCTAGGGAGTACCGCTTATACCATTTTGTATCTTCTCAATAAGAACAAGACAGTTTACTGTTCATATATATTCATTTTAAAATTATCTCCCTCTCTCTCTCTCTCTCTCTCTCTCTATATATATATATATATATATATATATATATATATATATATATTAGCTGTAACCTAGAAAAGGTTACTGAATGACGAATAACCAAAATGGAGGTTGGAAATGAAATGCTAATCTTTATAACATCAACAAAATACAATACTCGCCAGTGGCGTGAAGTAGGTAAACCATTGCTAGTGGTGGACTACTTAGACAGCATATATCCCGTTCATAGGTACGGTATATAACACTATCTATCTATCTATCTATCTATCTATCTATCTATCTATCTATCTGTTTTCCGTTTCTTTCTGTGTTCTTTTTTGTCTTTCTCTCACTATCTCGGCTTACGGACCTATAGCGTTGAAACATCGGTTCCCGTACGATCACTGAAGTTATGCCACGTCGAGCCTAGTGAGTACCTAGATGGGTCACCGCTTGAGAATACCAGGTGCTGTCAGCTTGGGTGTGCGGGTGGTGTAATGGATAATGGATCGGAATTGTTATTCTTGGAGTCGAGTTCCAATTTCGCTTGGGTTTGTTGTTGTGGTAGAATCCATCTAATTTGCATAGTGGACTACCGACCATATAAATATGGTTGGTACCGGGAAGAGAGGGAGGAATCAAGAGATTCAACCAGAGAATCTGCCTGACTGCGACTCAGTCAACACATTCTCCAGGAATGGTCTTATCAGGAATATACAAAAGACTATATGTAAATATTGTGTACACTTTCTTGTTTCAATACATTTTGTTCTAAGTACATTTTGTGTTGCATTATTATTCCATGCATTAGTCAAGTTTCAACATTTGTTATGTTTACTTACGCGCAAATACCTTTTGGAAAAGTATGAATCTACCTTTTCTCCCCCAAAGCTATGGCGTAAACAGTAAGACTTATTTCACAAAATCATTGTTATCTCCCTTCCCCCTAAAAAAGAAAAAAAGATTTTTAGAATTTACAAATGTTTTCTGGCTTTAAATAAACTGCAGAGGGTTGATAACCCATAGAAAACCATTCAATCGATCAATCTCATCTTATTCTGTTTATATTCTCATAATTCCTGCCTGTCTAAATCTCATTATTTTCTAATCTATCTATCTATCTATCTATCTATCTATCTATCTATCTAACGCAGTCTTCTCCATCTATCTATCTATCTATCTATCTATCTATCTATCTATCTATCTATCTATCTATTCTGATCTTTTCTCTTTTCTTCTGTCTATCCCAATCTGTTTCGAATTCTGTTTAGTTGTTATAAACAGGATGTTAATAACAGTTCATTTATAATACATTATTGTACTTGTAAAATTGTCAAAGACTAATATACTTCACTTATATGGAACAAATTACATTTACCATTGCAAGGGGTATTGGCATAGCGCATTGACAAGTTACCCACATAAACTGACAAAAACCTGCACACCTGACAGAATTAAAAAAAAATCTTAGTCTCCAATTTCTTCATACATTTCTCTGAGTAAAAATACGAACACACGCAAGCAGACGAGCCTTTGCAAAAACATATATAGCTACGCACACACACACATATATAAACACACACATATATATATATAAGCCTACGAGTAAGTATTGAAATACACTTGGCTCTATTCCTCTTCTATGTGCCGTGTCACTTTAGAATGTGGGCGATTATGGCTCTCCACAATTTCCAATGATTTGTAGCTCTTAATAAAGTTTGTCTTTTTACTATCTCTCGTAAAACCTGTTCTAACAAGCATTTACACAAATTAGTTCATGCACTGCTTTCCTCTGTCCAATTGCATTGTCCTGTGAGTGTCAAATTTCTAAGCCCTCGTTCCTCATTATATGTCTTGAAATTTCAAATGTTTTTTAATGAAATGTCCTTCTTGTACTGATATTACATGAATTCACTATTCCATGAATATCTATCTATCTATCTATCTATCTATCTATCTATCTATCTATCTATCTAGCTAGCTAGCTAGCTAGCTATGAATGGATATAAGCCCATCTAGCACATGAATTTTGTAGTAATATACTAAAGAAAACGCAGGACAGTATTTTAAATATTTTTTGATAAATTAAGAATGTATAAAAATATACACACGCACACACACACACACACACACACACACACACACACACACACACACACACACACACACACACACACATATATATATATATATATATATATATATATATATATATATATATACATAGCTTGTTTGTTTAAACGTTATATTTTTAAATGGATACACTGGCATATTTTTCTAACGAAACTTCTCGAATATTCAGGCCGGTAGATGCAAATAAATACATATACTGTTTAATAAATAAATGAAAACAGAGCATCTACTCATATATTATTTAATATATATATATATATATATATATATATATATATATATATATATATATATATATATATATTCATTTAAAAATAACGCTTAAATAAATAAATTAAAAATCTATCGGATTTAATCCATCCCTAACACACACACACACACACACATACATATATATATATATATATATATGTATATATTACTTCTATATTTTCTGACAATGATTATAAAAATTGGGGCTGCCCTTGATCTGGTATGTAACTATGAAGTTTATGAGTTCTAATGAGAACAAACCTTTCATAAGAACACCAGACAAACATGACCAGCGATAGGACACGGGGAAAGAAAGATTAGTAAAATATAATAAAACATATTTATGGCTATTCTACAAATGTGTACTGCTTATATCCACACGCACACGCACACACACGCACATAAAAACACATACACATATACACGGAACTCTCTCTCTCTCTCTGTGTCTTTCACACACACTTACTCATCCCTATCTTGATTGGAAGAAAGAGATAGAGATGGATGGACAAGGTAGAGTGAAATTAAAAAAAAAATAAGACGTACGGTGGAGTAATGTATAGCGGCTCGGCGTAAGGAATCGGAGAGCCGAGTTCGAATTCCAGTTGAATCCATTACATTCACTTATGTGCTTGAGAAAGATATGAATTCTCTTCTTCTCCCCGCCCCCCCATATATGGGTAAATAGCAGGACAGACCGGGTTCTATAGCCTTGAATGGCAACTGGCCTACCGCAGAAAGAAACGGCAACCTACTACGGGAAAAATCTGCCTCGTCAGTCATGTATCGAATGATATATGATCACCTAAATGTGTATCACGGATGGCGTATAACAGCAGACTAATCTTGCTCTAAACTAAGATTATATTAGTTGTACGAATTTTATTGTTAATTTCTGTTTTCAATTTGTTTTTCATTGAATTGAGCGTTGCAGCAAAAATTAACAGAAATGAAATAAACTTAACGTCTTCTGCGAATCATAATAATTGTTTATTCACTTGTTTTGAATCATTTAAACAATATATATATTTCTCATTAACGTATTCACGGATCAGACAATTATACTTACCCTCCAATCTCTCACCCACAGACGGGATGTAGTGACTTTTTACGGAAAGTGTTCGGACAAACTAAATTCTCTGCTGCCCAGTTCAAACCTTCACGGCAAGGACACACCTTGCCACTTACACAAGAACAAACCACACACAATCTATTCGTATCAGAACTAATTTCCACTGGAACAACTTCTTCCCGCGAAGCATTGCTGTGTGAAAGCGACTCCCAAGTCACCCTCGGTCACTGCAATCGTAACCTGTTTAAGGCCAGGGTTGACCGTTATCTTCCACTGTTATCCGCATAAATTGCCCCCTAACGTAAATCTCCACGGGCCTTGTAAAGGGTGTACCTTACTATAAAAAAAAAAAAACATAACATTCTCCTCGATTTATTACCTACATACGGCCGTAAAAGAGCTCAAATACAGAGAATTCTGCGGCCATATTAAAGAGACAAATAAACTAATAAACATCTTGCAGTACTAAATGGTTGTATTGTATTTCACCGTTATCCCTCGTATGTACTAGTTTAGCCACACTTAAAAAAATGATATTTTTTTAGAAATAATATATCTTTCTGTTATTATTTTGGTTCACTGCTCTTTCACGTAGTCGGTCTTGTCACTTCACGGGCTTGTGAACATCATGGAACAGTCAGACATTGCCACAACAAAGGCACTGCAATTCTGGTGTTGTCAGTGTAAGGGTGATAGCTATAGTATAGCAAAACTTACATATATTTCATATAAAACACTTGGTGTATTATATACATACATACATACATATACATATATATATATATATATATATATATATATATGTGTGTGTGTAAACGCACACACAAGTACACACACACATATATATCATATAATGAAACCAAATGTTTAATCGGAACATCAGATCAAATTGATTAGCGATAGGACAGGAGATAAAACAAGATTAGAAAGAATGTAATAAAATAGATGTTTGCTCTCTCTCTCTCTCTCTCTCTTATATATGTGTACACATAAACATATACATACACGCATGCAAACACGCACACCTACATATCTATCTATCTATCTATCTATCTATCTATCTCTCTATCTATCTATATATATATATGTGTGTGTGTGTATATATATATATATATATATATATATATATATATATATATATATATAGAGAGAGAGAGAGAGAGAGAGAGAGAGAGAGAGAGTGAGAGTTGGAACGTAAATGGTCGCAGGATTTGTTCAGATTGTTCATTTTGCTCCTTTTCGTGTTATCAAACGTTTTCCAGGTCTCGCTGAGCATTTTACACATCTCACAAAATCACTCCACCATTTCCTATCAGTCTTTCTTCTCGTAAACACACGCCCTTACTTAGTGGCCCGTTCTATCTATCTATCTATCTATCTATCTATCTATCTATCTATCTATCTATCTATCTATAATGGATGGACTATGAATGAATGTAATGATGAATTTATATCCGATAAAAGCAAGTCAACAATTGATTTAGATTAAATTAAAATTATTTCACAACTTTGAATGAACATTTCTTTTGTCCTAGAGTCGGGTGAATCTGTGATTTATTATAAAACTCTGTTCACCATAGAATATAATAATTTGACAATGCTTTTAACAACTGGAGAAAGACACCAGTCAGATAGAGAGATAGATAGACAGATAGATAGATAAGGGAACAGTTCATCAGTTTCAGGATTTTAAGAATTTAAATACCAAAAAGTTTGCACGGTGAGAAATCACATTAACGAAGGGACAAGCTCTGTGATTTTGTAATAGATAGATATATAGATAGATAATGAACAGATTGATAGATATGAACAGATAGATAGATAGATATGAACAGACTGATAGATATATAGATAGATAGATAGATAGATAGATAGATATGAAACAATGAAGAAACTAACGAAGCATGACGAATTTAGAAATAAATGTGGAATCGAGCGAACATAGAAGAAATGAAAAGGAAACTGATTTCATTATTTAAAATTAAAATTGTAATTAAAGTTTGGTATGTCGCAAATAAA